CCCCAGAATTTACCATGAAGAGGCGAACCAGACGGGCTGCTCGATAGCCCCGGGACAGGACTGCAGCGGCCACCCTGCTTGGACGTCAGCTCCTGCTCAATCTCTTCCAGCCCCGCGCTCTTCTGGAAGCGGCTCATGCGGTTCACCACCCGCGGCGACATGTGTGTGCGGACACAGGGCTGCCCTCCATAAGGGTTGATGGGGAAGACATGGGACGTGCCCCGGAGGGTGCTGACCACCACCCAGCGGCAGTCATGGCTGAAGGAAATGTCTTGCACCTGGAGAAAGGGATGAGGAGGGGACAGAAGTCATGCGGTACAGTTAATAGCCATGTCAGGAATAAGAAATCTACGCCAGCACTCTCCCTAGAGGTCTACCCCTACTTCATCACAGCTGACTGGACAGCTTCATGCTCATAAGGAGAGAAGTGAAACAGAGCCACCCACAAACAAAGCTGGTGTTTCTTAATAGGGGGGAGGGTTGGGGGGGACCCCTGCACATGCCCAAACAGATTAGTTAGCATTTAAAAAAAAAACCAGACAACAGACCACTTCCCCTCTCAACAGCTCCACTTGGCACGCTCACTGGAATGACCTAGGAAACGAAAACAGGTCTGGGGCACGTTAAGCTGAGCGGCCCCCTGCTGTGCTGGCAATGAAGGTGTGGCAGCTCAGTAGGACAAGCAATGGGCATCAGTTCGCCCACTGCATCATCCCCCCAACTGGAAGCAGTGCAGTGCCATGGCTGATGAGGGACCCGGGCCAAGCAGCCCTGAGGGCAATGTTCCCTCTAAGCTGTGAAGTCTTGTGAGCAAAAATTCTACTTTGTGAGCTACTGGCATTAAAGCTGTGAGTGAGCGATTTGGCTACTGCATAAATTACTTTGTTCTGGAGCCATCCTTCCTGAGCTAAGATAAAAATGTGTGAGCCAGAGGCTCAAAAACTGTGAGCTAGCTCACACGAACTCAGTTTAGAGGGAACACTGCCTGAGGGTAGGGCAAAGTTGCTGGGGTGGGACTCCATTTGCTCCTGACCACCAGGGGCCCACTGGACATTTCCCTGCAAGTTAAATGGCCAACCCATTTCGAACTCAATCTTTTTCAAGGACCGTGATGTATATAAAGGACATAAGGCACAATAATTTCTCTTTGTGAGCACAAGACTTTTAAGATAGCAGAATATTTTCTAGGGTCCCATTGGAAATGAAATAAATAAAAATATTAATGCATCAATAGAATTTTATTCATCCTTATTTATAATTATTAACATTATTGCAAGAGCTCATTTACCCCTTGCGACAAACTTAATAACCTATCTAGGATAGCATAACTCTCAAGTTCTGTCAAATACCAACATGTGGATAGTAATAGACTATTGGCACAAAAAGAATGCTACTGGATACATAGATTGGACACGATGGTCCCAAATAGGCTGAGAAACAGACCTCTCATGTTTTATTGGTTAAACCATACCGTTGCTATGATTGTCTGTATTGGGACACTGTTGTGAGATAGGCATAGAGTCTTTAAAACAAATGTCCTGACTGCTCTAAACCTCAGGAACTTAATGAGGATGAAGCCCCAAAGGGAATGTTCTATTGGTTTAACCATAGCGCTACGATTTTTTGTATTGTGACATTGCTGTGAAATAAGCATGGATACTTTAAAACTTTGTTAGAAATGTTATGATTGTTCTAAATTGCAGGATTTTAATGAGGCGGAAGCCCCAAGGGAATGCTTTTGTGGTTTTTTTGGTGAACTATACCGGTACTATGACTGTCTACATTGTTAAAGAATAAGCATGGGCACTTTAAAACATTTTCGGAATGGTTATGACTGCTCTAAACTGTAGAGTTTTATTCCATGAAATGTGTATTGGAACAAGGATGATAAAACACACCAGCACTTTAAGGAAATGTGTTTTTGACACAGCTGCTCATGATTATGGGGCTTGGCGCGAAAGAAATAGACTGAGCAAAACCCCAAATTTGCATCTGCCTGATAGAACTCGAGAGAGATGCTATCCTAGAGAGGTGATTAAATTTGCCGCAAGGGGTGAGCTCTTTTAATAATTTTAATAATTATAAATAAGGATGAATGAAATTCTATTGATGCATTAATATTTTTATTTATTTCAGTTCCGATGGGACCCGAGAAAATATGCTGCTATCTTAAGAGTCTTTGTGCTCACGAAGGGAAAATTATTGCGCCTTATGTCCTTTATATACATCAAATACAAAAAGATTGTATTCGAAACGAGTCAATTACCAGAGTCCCCCCTGGGACTAGTGATTTTGAAACTGACAAGGTGCCATCTGGATGTTTGAACAGAATGTAAACCTGCGCTTTGATGTATTGTTGGGGTGAAACCTATTTTTGATCATATTTGACATCAATATTTATATAACGGTATAGGAAAATAAAAAATAAAAATAAAAAGCACAACATTGATCTACCTTAAACATACATCTATAGAAGGAGGAGGAGAAGGAGGAGGAGACTGAATTTCTACCCCACCCTTCACTCGAAGTCTCAGAGCGGCTTACAAACTCCTTTCCCTTCCCCTCCCCACAACAGACTCTCTGTGATGTAGGTGGGGCTGAGAGAGCTCTTTCCAGAACTGTCCTTCAGAGAACAGCTCTGACAGAACTATGGCTTGCCCAAGGTCATCCAGCAGCTGCAAGTGGAGGAGTGGGGAATCAAACCTGGTTCTCCCAGATTAGAGTCCGTACACCTAACCACTACACCAAACTGGCGCTCACAGTGCTATATACACAGTGCTATATACACAGTGAGATATACTTTTGCATAACCACTTGGAGGCTGGCAACCCTAACACTCACCTGCAAAGTAAAGGGTGGTTGAGTCGGAGTAAGGGGGAGATGAGAAAAGAAAAAGGGGGGCTGGGCATCAACCGGAACAAAAGCTGTAACTGAATACAGCCCTCCCTATCAGTTGTGTCCTGTTCATGCAGCCGCCACCCAGGCCAACTGAAATCATGCTAGATGGGTGCCCCAAGATCGTTGTATTCTGCCACCTTTATGCCGGTAGTCCTAAAATGGAGATGTGTCAGGCTCACTGTGCATTTTATAGTTCGCCTGCCATAGAGGAAGGCGGGGGGGAGGGGTGTGAAGATCGAAATGCTTTCGCTTTCCTAAATGCTTTGATGTGCCAGACACTGTGGCCCAGTCTGCATCTAGCATTTGCTCTGCTGTTATACCAAACCCACACTGTCTACATTGCATGCCACTTTCACTTTGCCTGAGTGCCACATTTTATGTCAGTGTCCAGATTGCATTCTGCTTTTACTTTGTTTGATCTCTGGTTTTATGGTGGCTGTCTGCATAGATTTATGGCTGTTTTATGGCCATTTGGGGGTGACTCTGCAGTCAGTATGGTGTTGGCCCAGGGTAGCCAAATGTGGTTTTGAACTGCATCTTTTTTCTGTTCCAGTGTGGGTTTGGTAAAACAACTGAGAAAATGCTAAATGCAGATTGGGCCTGTGTCGCAGAGACCTGTTGTTCTGTTTTATTTATGTAGAGGGGTACGTGCTTAGTGGGGGGGTAGTTCACTGTTATTTCTGGTGGGCAAATACTGTGGGGTGATTGGGTCCTGATTAGGGCTGCCAAGCCGCGGCGGGGGATCTGCACGTCTTCACAGGATCGCGGATCCCCCGCCGCGGCTTGGCAGGCCTAGTCCTGATCCTTGTGCCTTTGCTTGAACACAATATATCTGCGATCTTCGTGCTTTCACCTTCAGTCCTAACAAAGCTTGTGTCCAGTATGGTATCTATCAATGTCTCAATAAACTTAACTTTCTTCGAAGTGAATAGTGTTGAGAACTGATTTAACCAGGATCCTGACAGATGTTTCCATCTGAGGGCCCCTCCCTTGCTTGGCTCTGACTGGACACTATAGCACCAAAACCCCTTAATGAATCACACAGGCTTAACCAAATTAAAACTCAGCAAGTAAAGTCCTTGTTGTCTTGAAATTGGGCTGCACGCCTGGAACTTCCCACAGCTCAGGGAAGTGGGGATCATGCAACAGCTGCACTGGCTGGAAAGAGGTCTACTTGAAATCTCAAAAGCTGAAAAGGTAAACGGGATAAGTTATGGGGAGGGGTCCTCAGTGCCCCAAATACCAGTGTCAAGACAAATAACTGGTTAATAAGGATGAGCGGGCTCCTAAGTCGGATCATAAGTTAGGATCCCTACTTCAGGGTCAAAAGTTTGATTTCTCTGCTAAGGCTAACTTAGGAACTTTGCTGGAAATTTAATAACTCTCCATAAAGCAGCAGATTGCCTTGAATACTGCTCTGAACGTTCTCCCGCCACGTCAAGGCCCCAGATCAATAAAGTAAAACTTCTATGCAAAAAAAAAAGCCACAAAAAAACCACAGGAGCCTGGTGTAATTTTTTAATTGAATCTGGTCTTGCAAACCTTTTTTTTAAAAAAATCAGCACGTAAGGTACATATTGGTTGCCCGCTCATTTTTCATTCTGGGGAAGCATGAAAAATGAGAGGTAAATAATCGCCAGCAGAAATGACAGTTCTGTGCCAAAGTTTTGGATGTGGTCTACACTTCAGATTTAAAAAGGGGGCCCTTCAGGAGGTGGAACTCTGCACTTTTCCTCTTAATTCATGTGTGTCAAGTAACATCGCCTATAATTTGGAGCCAAGGGTTTGAAGAGGAAGCCTGATTCTTCCTAGGTGCCTACTGAATGAAACCGCTTCCTCGTGCTGGAAAAGTCAAAACCCAATCAGAAACTAGCTGGGGGCTCAAATGTTCATGTGGTTAAGTGGCTGGCAAGTCTAACCTATCTGACGGGAGGCATGTTTCCATAGCCCTATAAGCTACTGCAGACCACGGCAACATCTCAACGCAACACATTTCCTACCACGCTGGGCAAGGCAGATTATTGGCCTGGTGCCTAAGAAGGCACCTCCTTAGATATTGGCACTGCCTAAAAGTCTTGGAACACATTCTGGATGAAATTTCCCAGCGTTTCAAGGAATCTGACTTAGGAAGGCTGTGTCTGCCCTTCTGCTTTGCCTGCCTTACCCCCCCCCCCTAAAAGAAGACGATCATTATTTGTAAGTGTACTGAGTAGTTCCAAAGACTGGGGAGTTCATATGCATAATACAGGAGCAAGAAGTCGTATGGGTGGGTTGGAGGATGACATTCAGGTGACTTGCCTGGCCCCATCATCAACTATTGTTAGGGTTGCCAGTGCCGGGTTGGGAAATGCCTGGAGATTTGGGGGGGGGGTGCAGCCTG